TTTTAATAATTAATATTCAACAGTTCTTGCGTATACAAGCTAACTCAGAAAAAAAGTGAGGGAAAATCTAAAACTCTGATTAATCAGACATACAATTAATTAAGCGCTTACGAATATTCACGTTTATTAAAATTTAGTCTTTATCGAAATTAGTATAGACAATGATAAAAACTGAGTGAATTATCATTACACAGTTCATTGAAAATAAGGGAGTTTTTCACAGTTTTTTTCTTTTAACATGGGATTACTCAGGAGTTAGTATCCGTGACTGCTTGTTTAGCATTCTACCATTTGTGGTACGATTATGTTGAACGTGTGATTTTTTTATTTAGCGTTCTGAGTGGTCAGTCATTTCATGTATACTATTGTATGAGTTTGGACTCATAATTAAACTGAATACATTGAAGAAATAATATACTTACCATTGCGTCTTCTGATTAGTTACTGGATTAGGAGGAGCTTAAGGACCAATACGCGCTGAGGCTTTGATTGTAGTCCATTGGATGGTATATTAATTGATAAATAGGACACCGGTCCTATTAGAGTTATTGGTGATAATCGGAAACTTGATTGGGAAATATAACATAACAAACTCGAAATATCAAGACAACAGAGTTTGTATCACTTATTCAAGTTCTGTTAATATAGAGGTGTCGTAGAAATCTATCATATGAGGTCCTTTTTGAAAAAAACGATAAAAGTATTCTCATAATCACCACAGACAAACTGATTTAACTTGTAGATAAACTTGATCAATTTTAAATAATTACTCGTGTTATGCTAAAATCAATAGATACATGAAACATTTGCATAATTAAGAGATCTCCATTTCGCATGTTATATAACATAATTCTAGAAAAGACAAATAAGTAATCAAGAGTATCAATATGTAGCGACTGCTACATACTAAACAAATTACGAATGATTTCTCATATGTTAACAATAACTTACAAGCACGATGGATACACAGTTAAAAAGGGTAGTTAAAACTGTCTGGATTCAGTACATTTATGAGTATTTATTAGTCTCACTACAACAGTGAAACAAGTTGGATAGGGTGTATAAAACTCTACGTGCATCATCGTAATGATGAGCATCCTTCTAATGAACAATGTCATTCCTGACTGAACAAAAGGTAGTTAAAGCTATTCAAATATTTCTTTTCTCATTCAGTTGATAGACAAGAAATCAATGGGATCTAAATAAAAAATTTCAAATGATCCACCTCATCCAATCAAATTTACTGCGTCATTTATAGGTTTATCTTTTGCATACTGCTGGGATCAATATCAAGAAACTTTGTATTATTATTATATCTAGAAGGTTGTTCTTGATATACCGTGTATAACGTGAGCACTAGAAGGCCAGAGCCCTTCAAAGTCGCAATGAGAAGACATAAGACTAATGAAAAGAATATTATTCCCAGACAGGGTCAATTATAGTAAAAAATTGTCAGGTATTTATAGTTTTTAGTAAGAACGAAATCATCATTACAGTCCTCCAATCTGCATACAGAGGGTTATTAGCATTGTCCAATCGTGAAGCTACACGTAGGAATTCTAGAATAGTCTTCCAAAAGGTGATTAGGTGGAATATCTTCGGCTCCTTCTGAGCCTCATACAGATTCCTCGAGTTCACCTGTGGTCCGACGCCACACCTCCTCCCTTTAAAGTCTGTTGTGTAAGACTTTTTTCTCGGGTCTGCCTGAAGCTTGGTTGCCGCATCACTCTCGAGGATTGTGCTGCTTTGCCCTTGTGTTGTTTATCTCTTCTATGTTTGCGCTCCTGAGAGCTTTTGTGAGATGAATCCATGAGCAATTGAAATGAGAGCCAGCTTTCTGGGACCACTGTACTACCGTCTCTTTGCATTTGATTTATGTGTCTTATACATTTTCCGACGCCTTTCTGGATTAGGTACAGTACATTTCTGATTCGACGTTCTATGACACCTGGTTCCCACTTCCTATTACTTTGATACGATTTGAAAAGTACCTTTTCATCCACCTGGAAGCTACGAGTGACCGTACGATACTCATTCGTGGGTTTACTTGTCTTTCTGAGTCTAGACCTAATAGAAACACTACAATTAGCAAATCACTCCATTAACCACATATGCAGCGCCGTGCGAACCAATAAACCAGTGGAAACGGATGTTGTGTTGGAAAGACATAGTCAAGTGTTTACGGAGGTAATCTTGAACAAAACTCATAATGAGTAAATCAATGGAAAATTGACTTTTCTTTTCATCATATCACCTCCTCTTCTTCTTTTGAAGACTATGTTGAGATCCATCTTTAAAATTTATGACTTCATCCTCCCCCACGAAATAATGTTGGGTCCTCATAACCCCAAGTTACAGTTAGTTTGACTCTATTTAAAGCATATTTCCATCATTATGTAGAGACTCCACCAGAACTGACTAGATGATGAGGATCAGCGACATTAGATATGAGGTCATTAAGGTTTGATTCTTGTGAAACATTTTCATCAGATCTCTTGAAAATTTCATTAGCAGATAATCGATCACTAAAATAATCAGCATCTATCAAAATTTTATTAGGTTCTCGATCATCGTTCGATGCATCCGACAAATTTTCCCCATTTTTGTAAGAAATTTGATCAAAAGCAGGGGAGTCATTAAGATAACTCAGATCTGGTAAAACAACGAAAGAACTCTAATAAGTACGAAATTCTTGCCAGTGTCCTTCAACGACATTCATTCATTCTCGTCTGGTATTTTATTCTGTATACTATGCGATATTCTTGTATTCCATTGACATGAACTATGCTCAGTATTTGATTTGTTATAACTCTAAGTATTTTTTATATATATCTGATTTCATCCTAATTATTAATCAAAATGGGTATACAATCAATATATAAATGAGTGTATTTTCTACTAGAATCGTCATCATCGTCGTCGTGTTTTGGGGTTAATAAATCATCACTCATACCAGTTTTGTGTTCTTACTTTCGCGTCGTGGAAAATGCAGAGGTCCCTCGTTCCGAGCATAAGTGACAAGCGTTTCCGACATAACAATCAGAGACGACAAAAGTAGCATTAAAAGAGCTAATACAATAAGAATTCAAACGACAAGTTATAACAGTTGTAAAGTTTAGACTGCCTCTGTCTCTACCGTAACTATCAGAATAAATCATTTCAGATTGGGTTATAACATAACTTTGATTTCGTACCCATTTTCAAAAATTCTTTCACTTTTGTACTCTCATATTATCTCAATATACGTAAAGAAAAGTTCTAGTAGCAACGTTGACCTCTTCTTATAAAAACATCCCTCACTAAAATGTTTACATCTAAAAAACCACTTTATGTTATCTCCAATTTTGTCTACCACTTTATATATAAGCGAAAAATCAAATAAGTTGCAAAGACAGAAAAGAGGGTTAGTGCTTGCATCTCTGAGTATATGCCACAAAAGTTGAAACTAAAAGAACAACATGTTTTGAGCAGTGCAGCCTCTGGTCACTTAATTGACACTGGACATAATGATGGCGTTTCAAGATCCTTCAAGATGTTTACAAAACAGAGGACATCGGTTTCATGAAGTTTTACAAAATCAGTTGCTGTAAGAAGATTCAAACCAAATTTATGTTGCCAAAAAGATCCAATAGACAATCCCGTTTTATAATGAGTGGCCTGGATTACAAGTATATATTACGTAACATTCGGACATGACATTAATTATAGTTTCCTACTTCTTATCTAATCTGTACTTATGTAGTCGACGTTATTTTATACTTATGTATTACACAAATTATAACATTAAACTTTTATTTCACTTCTGAAATTATTGTGTCCATGCTTTTCCAAAATTTGATTCCTGAACATGAACAGACCACTGACTCTTTAATACCGTCGCAATTTTTGATCTATATCTTCTTGTTAAAAATATTTTTAATGAAGAACTTAACCCGTATAGAGCGTATACGATATAGTGTGTTGTAACTTTAAGTCCGGCTAATTATCACGTAATTTATTCGCCAATCGAAATCGACGTCTGATCGGTCTAGCGTCCTTATTGGTCCTTTGCTTGCCTAACCCATCCAGTTGAGTCCAGAACACCAATAACAGCTTCCACTATGCGAACCATTTATTTCAGACATACTTGGTTTATATACTAGCCAGACAGACCGCATCGCACCATAAAATAGGAAATAGCATTTATACAAAATAAAGCCAAAAGTGGCTGTGAACGTGTGAGACGGTAATCGAATAATTGAATATAACTCAAGAACAGTAAATCGTACAATAATAATTTATAGATCAAAATGAAGCTCATAATAAGGGAAATATAGATATACATAATCTAATCACTGAATAGTTATACCATAAGAATGTATAGATAATATTAGTCTCTTAAAAAGTCTCAGAAGTTACTCGTAATTTAATCTTCGCTAGGTATAACTTAGTGCTCATCGAAAAGACAAATTTGTTGTAAGTTCTAAGCTGTTGAAAGGGATCTGCCAAATAAGTGAATTATCCTTCTTTGTTGTTTTTGCTTAAATTAGTAAATCTTATGGTTAAACGATCTTTCTACTTCTTTTAATAGATATTACATAATCTATCAACTGCTGGTCTAAAAATTCTCATTCTTTACATATAATTAGTTAGATTATTATAAATCTAGTTTCCCCGTTCTTTAAACTGCTTATTTAGTTATTCGATATTATTTTCATGGTCTCTTCTTGAACTTACAATAGCATAAGTGAATTGGAATTTAGAGGTTGATAGCACAGCTTTAAATACTGGTTGTCAGCGTGCAACAATAAATAATCTTAAAACAAGACTAAATAACTTTTTAGTGCTACCTCGCATCCATCAGTCCTTCAGACAAAATTACTTCCTGGTGAAAATTTACCATAAAAAGTACAACCTCCACTAACCCCCCAACTTTACAATTTACAGTAAACTTACCTTCAACAGATTTTAATGAATTTAATGTAACTACTTCTGAGTAGTTAAAAACTAAATTTAAAAAAATGAAGTTTCATGATCAAATCAGATCGAAATTAACCCTTAACAGTAATAATAATAATAATAATAATAATAATAATAATAATAATAATAATAATAATAATAATAATAATAATAATAATAATAATAATAATAATAATAATAATAATAATCTCTTGATGACTAAATATAAAATTAACACCATGTATAACGGTATAAGTAAATGAAATAAAATAAAACGTCATAAAAAACTAACCACATATAATTATTAAAAATATAAACACCATAAGGGAGAATAAAAGCAAGAAGTGTACTTAATGAGACAACACAATGGTAAAAATGGCTAAACAAGACCATTATACAATAGATATACATGTGGCATAATTGGTGAACATCTATAGTTCGTTTGTCATAGCTTTAACTAACACTCCTTTAAGTTCCTGGATAAAATTTAGCCGACTAAGTAAATAACCCATCTATTCAATAACATGATTGGTGTCAATCGATCATGAGTGCTCATAATTAATTGCTTCGTTTAGTAGTTTAATGGGACTTCTGGAGATCATAGAACTTTCATTGTTTTTAAACCGCCAATCAACCTTAGCTAGACTATTGTAGGCAACTTGAAATAAACGGACAATTGTTTTTTCTAGTGTAAAACTTCTCAACAGTGAACACCAATGACCCTGCAACCGGGCATTGGACGCGACAACTTCAGTCTTGCGCGCGAACCTCTAACCTCTCGATTGCCAAACAAGCACAAAACGTTGTTGGCGTATAACTTAAATCCACTTACTATATTGCTCACCCCTGTTATTATTATCTTTCAGTTAAGAAGATTCAACCACTTTTTATGAAGAAAGTAAAAGAAGATTACAGCGGGATCGCCACTGGCTCCTATTCTGAGCCATGTCTGATAACGTCTCTAGCCACTGTGTAGCACCATCTCTCGGACCCCAACCAGAGAGTCGTGAAGGACCAACACAGGCCAGCCCTTTGCAGCTTTCTTTCATACCCCGACAGCATGTCATACACTGACCACCTCTCCGCTTTTTCCTGAGGAATAATCTATATTTATGCCAAAACTCTTGTCTCATTATTATCATCATCATCATTTAAAATAAACCTAAATATCCTCAAAATCTAGGCTCTTCAGATGCCTCATAGTTGTGCACTCAATAGAAGGATTATTTTCAATTTAATTACTATTGATTACTGAAATAATTCAGACATAATTATAATTCACACTAAAATAGTTCCCATTAATATAAACTGTTAAGTACAGTTGTCTTTATCATAAAGGTACCAATTATAGCCATTCTTTAATTTCCTTGTAATTAATGCACAATTTATAAAATGGTGTCTACAATAAATGTTTAGCACTGATCCTAACTTTCATTACAATCTATGCCTCTAGTAGTATTGTATGTTGACTCTATATTGAAGCATCTAAGATAATATTTTAAATTAAATTAAATGCAAATTTATTAGTTGAATTCATGATTTAATTAAAGCTAGACCACCATCGAAGACCTGGAAGCACTGAGTTCGAGTCCCGCATGCGGGATAGTGAATGCGCACTGCTGAGGAGTCCCATACTAGGACGGAACGGCCGTCCAGTGCTTCCAAGTTTTCTATGGTGGTTTAGCTTTGTTCCGTAAGGATCGGTCGTGCACAGACCAAATTGCAACACTACGGATCATCGTCGAACAATCGGTTGAGTGGAACTCGTCACTATACATCAACTTCATTGATTATGAAAAGGCATTTGACAGTGTAGATAGGAGGACATTATGGAAACTTCTTCGACACTACGGAGTTCCTGAGAAGATTGTCAATATTATCCGGAACTCATACGACGGACTACAGTGCAAGGTCGTGCATGGAGGACAGCTGACAGATACATTCCAAGTAAGGACCGGGGTCAGACAAGGCTGTTTACTCTCTCCCTTTCTCTTTCTTCTGGTGGTCGACTGGATTATGAAGACCTCGACATCTGAAGGAAAACACGGAATACAATGGACAGCTCAGAACCAATTAGACGATCTGGACTTCGCAGATGACCTAGCTCTTATATCACGTACACACGAACAGATGCAGATAAAGACAGCCAGTGTAGCAGCAGTCTCTGCATCAGTAGGCCTCAGTATACACAAAGGGAAAACGAAGGTCCTCAAATTCAAAGCGGAAAACAGCAATCCAATCACTCTTGATGGCGAAACTCTGGAAGATGTAGAATCCTTCACATACCTGGGAAGCATCGTCGATGGACAAGGAGGTTCAGATGCAGACGTAAAGGCGAGGATTGGCAAAGCAAGGGCCGCATTCCTACAATTGAAGAACATATGGAATTCAAAACAACTTTCAACCAATATCAAAGTGAGAATCTTCAATACGAACGTCAAGGCAGTTCTACTGTACGGAGCTGAAACTTGGAGAACTACAACAACCACAATCAAGAAAGTACAAGTATTTATAAATAGCTGTCTACGCAAGATACTCAACATCCATTGGCCAAATACCATCAGCAATAGCCTTCTGTGGGAGAGAACAAACCAACTTCCAGCTGAAGAGGAAATTAGGAGAAGACGATGGAAATGGATAGGACATACATTACGCAAATCGTCAAACTGTATCACGAGGCAAGCCCTAACTTGGAATCCTGAAGGGAAGCGAAAAAGAGGAAGGCCAAAGAACACATTACGTCGGATAATAGAAGCAGATATGAAAAGGATGAATTACAACTGGAAGGAGCTGGAAAGGATTGCCCAGGACAGGGTTGGATGGAGAATGCTGGTGAGCGGCCTATGCTCCTTCACGAGGAGTAACAGGCGTAAGTAAGTAAGTAAGTTAGCTTTGTTCAACTCATGAATTCAGCTATTAAAAATTACTACAATATCCACAAAACCCCATTCTGACAAACTTATTAGTTTTGTAAAAGATTTTTTTATTATTGGTAAATAACATTTTCACTTAAGTTGAATTTCCACATTACTACCAACGTAAAGATAATGGTAGAAATCTGCTCACAAAAATACCTACTCATTTGGAAATATTCCATTGGTTAAAACAAATTCCATTGATAAATTATCAACCAATCAAATCGTTGTCCGTTACAATAACATAAAGGGAAGTATTTATTTATTTCAGTTCTTGAATATCTAAACAAATCATAATATTCATTCATTGAATAGTATTACAGCAACGAAGTTATTTTTTACTGCTACTCATATAGTTCAATAAATACTTCAATACATTTAATAGATATATTAAATACGCAAACTTCGACGTTCAAAACACTCCATAACAAATAATCAAATTCTAATGAATGAATTTAATGTTCAACCGTTTGACATATATAATAAACAAAATACTAATATATATCAACATTATGAAGTAAATAATATGGAAGATATTAATAAGTGCCCAACTAAAGCTGAATATTACAACTGCTTATCTGAAACATCAAATTGGTCAAGAAAATTCATAGATGATTTAGATGACCGTAAAAAAAAAGTGGATACAACGATACCATTTTATCTAGAACAAGCACAATTTCAACATTCAATAAAATGTCATTCAAATGAATCAAGATTATTAGACAATAATAATCATAATGATAATTCAAATTTTATTGATTTCAATCCAATAGATTTACAGCCTGATTCAACTGTTATGGCACCGATTACAAATAATGATTTTGTCTATAAGGAAGAATGTAGGAGACCAATGAAAAGTAAGTATGTTGTTTATTTATTACTTGTAAAAAAGTATTAAACTGTCAAAAATTAACTAAGATCCATTTGGAATAATTGAATGGAATTAGTTGCTGTTCAGCTGATTAATTGATGACGACATTGGCTCAAAATCCTAAATAATCCATCAGTTGCTTCAAGATTAAAAGTAAGATAAATAGCACAAAACATATATCGCTGAGTTTATACCAATATTTTCTCCATTATTAATTGGAATGATGTAGCCTTAGAAATTTAAACCGAGTATTACAGTTGCAAGAATTATTATCATTTGTCTATTTAGGTTTAATATATATTTCCATATGCTTACTGTAATATCTATTTGTTCATCTTACTTTTAATAGAACACACAATACATTGATTCCATTATGGGCTTAATCGATATACTTTTATTAAAGTTAGAAATTAATTAATATGATATCAATTATTCTTTAGTTAAGTTTTTATATCCTACTAAGGAAAAAGTAAGATTCGCTAACTTCCTTCATGGAGCATAGACTACTTACTAGGATTCTCCAACGTACTCCAGTTGTTCCCAAGTGCTATTGATTCTTTGGATGTCTGCTTCGGATTTCCGAAGTAATGTCTTTTTTTAATATTCTTCTTTCTCTTTTGCCTTGATAATTATAAGTTAGAACCTGCTTTGTGATTCAGTTTTAAATATTAATTAAAAAAACATGATTCACTGTATAAATACTAAATAATTTAAAATTTCAATGTTAATCAGTTAGGTGTGTTAATAAATATGAAATAACTTAAGTGAAGTGTATTTTATTCAATGTTTCGTTTCATTCATTCTCTCCATTTGAGTTTTTATCTAGTTCTCCAAAAATATGTCAAATATGTTATAAATCTAAGTAGGACTCAAAGGAACAATCTTAGTGGAGATAAAATATCCTCAATCGAAAAAACCCATTCATTTTAAATTATACTCCAGAAAACTGTTAAATTTATAATAATTCACAAATTAAAACTACAAAATGATGTTTCGTAATATATACCTAAAGTTTCAGCGTGTTAAAAGAATAAGCGGGGAATGGCTAAACAATTATAGAAAATCCCGAAGCCTCAGACCGCTATTTCATCCTGAACCAAGACAATATGAACCATTCGACTACCAACTTTGTGGTCTAAAATTTCATTGTTCGCTGAGAGAACATACGGTCCTGGATTCAGTTCTTGACAGGGACTTAGATGCTGACTGATGAGAAGTCTCATATTAGGGCGAAACGGACATCCAATGCTTCTTGGTTTACAATACTTCTGTAATTTAGATCAGTTAGTAATGTTTCAGTCAGTCAGCTACAACCTAGGACCAGGCAAATATATGCATCAGCCCAAGTTGCCATACCTCATTAGAACAACAAGATGAACACCGAATTCATAGTAGTTCTTCAATGGTGGTAATATATAAAAGAAATATTGAATATAAGGATATGGTACAGGAATAAAAAAATAGTTGGTATAAAGAAAGATACAAGGCAATTTTATTCTCTTAGTTTACGAGTAGACAAATAGTGTATACACCTACGCTATTGTGATCGATTCTGAGCCATGTCACCAAGAGTCTCCAACCAAGTAGTCTGCATCTACCAACCTGGCTCAGACCAGAAGTTAGTGACTTCAAGCACTGATGCTACGTTTTGGTTTGGTCTCCCATAACTTTCTTCCAGCCGTCCCCAACACTAGTCAGTATTGCTAGTCTTGGTAATCGGTGTTCAGGCATACGTACCACCTGACTCATCCATCTCAGTCGATGAAGATTCATAACCTCATCAAGTTATTTGTCATCATTCTCTAATACCCTGTGTCTAATTTCACTATTACTTATACGGTGATCCCGGCAGATGCGAACAATATTTCTAAGGCATCTGTGGTCAAATACTAGTAGCCTACAAGTATCTTCAACTCTTAATGGCCATGTTTCGCAGTCGTAAAGTAGAACAGAACGGACTGCCGCGTAGTATACTCGTCCCTTAATTGATAGACAGATATCTCGCCTTCGCCATAGGTGTCGTAAGTTGGCAAAAGTCAAACGAGCTTTTAGAATCCATGCTGAGATTTCGTCAGGCATCAACCCATTAGGGCTGATCAGACTTCCACTATAAGTGAAGTTATCGATGCGTTCAACTACTTCACTCCTTATCCTTAGTTCTGATGTTGACACTGGCCAGTCCTGAAGCAACAACTTGCATTTAGAGGGGGCGAAGCGCATCTCAAACATCCTAGCATTGCTGCTCAGTGCTACCAAAAGACTGCATTTTGTCCGCATCTTCACCAAAAAGGTCTATGTTATCCGCGTATTCTAAGTCGAAAAGTGGACCTATAAGCATATTAATTCTCAAACATTCAGTCGACGAGAATGAAATGTAAAGTCTACTACATATATAATTTCTATGTTGAAACTGGAAAACTTGGCTAATACTACAAACTGTCTAATTAAATTACATCACAAATCAATATTATGAAATATAATATAGTACATTTTTATAATTAAACTATTAACTGTTAAATAACAGTTACTGAAAATAGCTGAATAGATAAGAAAATTTAGACTGATCATTATTCATTTTGTCAAAACAATGGTCATTGTCTTGCCAAAAAACATAGTCTATAATTGCATAAATTTACCAACTTCTTAAGAGTTTCTTAATTGTTATCGCTCCGATATAATTAAACATAAATAATTATATTACTGAATTAGAAAAAGTTTAATATAAGAATGTTTGTTGATGATAAATAGTTGAAAACAGATCACATATTTTAATGAACTTAAATATTTAAACACTGTTTTATCATAAATGGATATGACATTAGTGTTTTAATTTGTTAAAGAATATGTATTAATTGTAGTCTATATATGCGCGAGATCAAGGGTTGATTGGAGTTAAGCATTAATACCGTTAGTTGCCAATTTAATGGTTTAGAGGTTAAGCGTTCGCGCACGAGACGGAAGGTTCTAGATTCGAGTCCCGAGTGTGGAATCGTGGATCTTCATTGCTGAACAATCTCATACTAGAACAAAACGGCCATCCAGTGCTTCCAGGTTTTCAGTGGTGGTCTAGCTTAAATCGACTCATAAATTCAACTGTGAAAATATTACAACACTACAAGTCCTAATATATATAACTTAATCGGTTAATAAAGGAATTATAATTTGAACTATTTTCTACGTATTTTTAATACTACTTTTAGTGACATTGTACACTACTCTTCTATATATTACTGTCAGTAAAAAAGTGGATGTCACCATATTATTTTTTTAAATATGATACGGTACGAACTGAACCTAATTTAAATAATCAAATCATGATTATTGGTAAAACTTACATGAATCTAACAATATGGTGAGTTAACTTAAGTTAAAAATGTTAACCATTAAAATACCAATTCATTGATCTAAAGATTAAGCGTTCATAATAAAGCCTATAGGTCATAGATTTAATAAATAGCGAAGTTGTATGTATACTTCCCTAAAGAATCCTATATCATAATGAAATAACTATCCAATTCTTGATGGATTTCGGTGATTACCTAATCAAATTCAATTTATGATATGAACTTGAAATTAGTAAAATATGTTAACAACTTACTTACTTACTTACGCCTGTTACTCCTCGTGAAGGAGCATAGGCCGCTCACCAGCATTCTCCATCCAACCCTGTCCTGGGCAATCCTTTCCAGCTCCTTCCAGTTGTAATTCATCCTTTTCATATCTGCTTCTATTATCCGACGTAATGTGTTCTTTGGCCTTCCTCTTTTCCGCTTCCCTTCAGGATTCCAAGTTAGGGCTTGTCTCGTGATACAGTTTGACGATTTGCGTAATGTATGTCCTATCCATTTCCATCGTCTTCTCCTAATTTCCTCTTCAGCTGGAAGTTGGTTTGTTCTCTCCCACAGAAGGCTGTTGCTGATGGTATCCGGCCAATGGATGTTGAGTATCTTGCATAGACAGTTATTTATAAATACTTGTACTTTCTTGATTGTGGTTGTTGTAGTTCTCCAAGTTTCAGCTCCGTACAGTAGAACTGCCTTGACGTTCGTATTGAAGATTCTCACTTTGATATTGGTTGAAAGTTGTTTTGAATTCCATATGTTCTTCAATTGTAGGAATGCGGCCCTTGCTTTGCCAATCCTCATTCAGATAAATAGATTTGATAAAATCGATAAATTCTTCAATGGTAACTACAATGTATATCAACAGTAAAACAATTTAACACTAAAAAATATATCACAATATTTGCTAATAAGATAATTAGTTTTTAGAAAAATGTATACTGACCTAAATTAGCATAATATTCAGTTCATTATTTTTTTAAAAAAAAAGAAAAACAAGAGAAAAAAGAAAAAGACAATTAACTGATTAATAAAACTGAGTTTAATAGTTTCAATGTTAATTGTTCAATAGTAAATGAATTTATATGGATTTAGATTTAGATAAACTATTGTGGGTGTTATTTTTTTTAAAGAGAAAGGGTTCAAAGAATGATCTAGAATATGATAAGATTTCTAGTCAATTTAACTTGGCTGAACTGTATAATTTAAAAAGATTAATTAAATGTATTAATTAAACTAAATAGTTATTGAATAGATTGATTTTAAAATTATGGTTTCCACAATAAATCAAATGACGAAATGATTATTTTTCAATGTAGGTTTTAGTCTATCTTTATTCAGAAATTAATATTAGTTTAACTGTTTAAATAGTCCAAAGTAAATTGGTTTAGGTGTTTCATTTGTATGGTACTAAACAATATGTTTCAGGTTATCATGGTTAGTTTTGTCTTATAGAATTTCTCTAAATAATTCAATAATTCTATTGTATTCTTTGTTTATTAATTAGAAACAACTAACCTATGTAAACTAAATAGTTTTGTATGGGTTTATGGAAGATGGTTGAGCAATGTTATGGATTAATTGAAGTTAAACATTAACACTATTGGGTATCAAGTCAGTGATCTAGAAATTAAGAGTCCGCGTGCCTGATCATGAATGCGCACTGTTGAGTTGTTTCATAACAGGACGAAACAACTGTCCAGATTATATATAATAGGAGAAATCCTAATAAACTGTACCTGACAACAATTCCAATGAGATTGGATAAATGAAAAAAAGGATTTCAAAATAAAACGAACTGATGTTCATAAATATGCGCTAAATAGTAGGAATACCTAAAAGTTCAAAGCTTATTTGTTTATATTAATTCAATGTTCAGTAAGTTACAATACCCAAAGTCATGTCAGGTTATAAAAACTAAACGATAAATGTTATCTTATGTAATGCGAACTTGTGAAAACCTAATAAGTTAACTTGATATCGAATAAATTTATACGGATTATTGATTTTTATAAATGTCTCTTCTTTTTACAAGAAAAAGTTTTTATCTCCATGTACATCATGTAGAATTGAGTATATATATATGGGTCACTGTTGTATAACTCTTGAGAAGATATATCTAAACGATAAGCCCTTTCTTTCTCTCTTTCATTCAATTTAAATGTTTGTTACAGTTGATTATTTTTTGATTGTTGTTGTAAAAAACTTCATTTTTTTCGATTAAATTATGATAATCAGTACAAGTATCAATGTCCGTTATTCCAAATAGTTATCATCATTTATAAATTTGCAGTCAAGTGTAGATAATTATAGGGTTTATTAAAATAAATGATTTTGCTTGCCTTCTCTGTTCAAACTGATATATGCACACCCACAAATGAACGTTCATTTATATGTATACCCCAAAGCAAGTTCATATATATATATATATAATGATTACGTATTACTTCAAATACTGACGGATACAAGCTACCACAGTCTACTTCATTTTGTATATTACCCTTCATTTGTTATATACATTTACTATGTACTGATAAAGATTACCTTGAATATGGGTCCGAATATCTATGAGTATACTTATAAAATTTAAAATTGCCTTAAGCAGAAAATGTTTGAAATGGATAGAAATGGGTTAGTTGTTGTATATAGAACAGCAAAATCTGTCATTTTGTATAATCTACAGAAAAAACTGATGGTTTGTATATATAGTTATATATGAATATGTTTGTATGTTTGTGTTTGTATGCAATCGAATCAAAATGGTCAGAAAAAGAGGAATATAAACATAAGGACTTAAATTTAGAAAGTGATATAATGAAATTTTTTTCCATATTTTTACTGTGATCAAATTTTAACTTATTTTCTGAAATATTTTTAACTGTCAAAATAAAAAAAAATAGATTGAAACAGAAACAATTACAATTGGTTTATTGATGAATTAATTTTCATAAAATAAAATAACGATGTTAATGATGACAATACAAGAAGAGTTCAATTGATATTCAGTAGGCGGGGTCGGGGACAAGAATGATGATTCAAAATGTAGGGAACATGGGAGAGGGGGAGAGGTAGGGTTGGGAAATGATTCTAAGTGTGCAAAGTCAAGTGTGTGAAAAGAAAAAAATGATAGAAGAAAAATGGTTTGAATAACTGAATAATGTAAATGTGTAAAACTATTATTGAATTCTATAAAACTGATTGAAATTTCTTTGAAAAAAAACAAACAAATAAATAATTGCAATATAACTAACTGGTCAATTCATTGGAACAGTGGTCATATGAATTATTTTTGATTAAATAAATTGAATAAATTCATTTCACTCCAAATTAGCTCATCCGTTAAACTGTCATATAAATTGTGATTTGTTCTGAGGTGTTATAAGCGATAAGAAAAGTATATATATATATTCTCTCCTCACTGGTTTTCATTGGTACCTCAACTGAGGAGGATTTCTTGATGAGTAGCATTTCAAAATTAAATTAAATATATCACTTCGTGTTCCTATAAGTTGACCATAACTCATTATGGAGATAAGTCCGATTTGCAGTCAGTTTTCATTCGGAAGTGGCGGCCTGCTTGAGCATCTGGGCTACCTGTTCCTGCCATCTAGATATTTCAACAAGTTATCTATTTTTGTTTGTTTTAATATATCATTATGTCCATGATTCGCATAACCTATCCTGGTGCATTTCTAAAAAGTTTACAACCTTTCGTTGTCAAAGTTACAAAAAGCCCAATAAGAGATAATGTGGTCGCTGGCAATATGCATAAAAAAGAATATACATTATTCAGATGTTCATTTACTGGACTGCTAACATCTAGCTGGAGATTACTCAATATTTATCGTCAGGATCGACCAAGAAGAAAGGAACGGAAACTTGTTGAAATACTTTGTGCTGAGAATTCTATATTGTACCAAAAATATAATATTGAATAAAGCTTATAATAATAATAGTAAAAATTTTAATTGGTGAATCGTTAAAAATCAGGAGGAATCATATGGTTGTTTCATCTTACTCTGGTATTTTTTAGCTGTGGTAAAAAAGGATAGGTTTATCGTGCTCTACTCAATGGAATCGTTAATATGTACCGTTGTAGAGTTTTATCTCACGACGGAAATTCATTGTGTTCCTTGATTTTCAGTGGTGCACAAGTTGAAGTTAATCCATGATGAGAACTATTTCAAAATACAACTGTTTATTACACTTTATTCAATTATTTTGTTTTAACCTGAATGACAGTGGCTTACTGATTAAATCCTTTCATAAAAACGTTTAATAACTCTTATCACTTTTCACTCAGGAAAATAAGAATAAGATCATGTTCTTTTGTTTTGATCATGATCGAATTTACTAACTATGTAGTTGAATAAACAATACTTAATAGCGTGTTGTTCACAACAGACTCACTTTATTTGGGATACTGTTTACAACCAGGAAGGACTGGATAACCTTGTCGCCTCTGTATGAGACTCCTCATTATCAAACTTACTACTCTGATAAACACAGAACGCAGAATCTTCAAATCTCGTGATGACAACTTAAACTTTAGATCACTTGGTTGGCGTCTAAAAGTTCAAGTAATTTATTGTATAGCTGATCGGTTATCTAACGCCATTGGTGACAACTGTTTCCCTTCTGTCATGTCTGAACTCCACCGGTCACGAATTATCACCAGAACTTTAGGGACTCATCCTTGATGAGTTTGCGAGCATCCACACGAAAAGCTGTCTGACGATTCCTGACTTTCAATGGTCTTCCAACTAAACTCGTTAAATGAAGTAAATTCACAAATCTTCAAAGTACACTGAATTATAAACTCATCGAATATCAATTTAAACTTCATTTTAAAATAATATTTAAGTACGTTTATATTCATTGAATAATATTTTCTTTTTCAATTCTCTTAAGGACATTTAAAATCTCCAATATATCAAAAGTCTATTGAACATGTTGGTAACAATGATGATTCTGGTTTAAACGTTAACAATAACATATCACCGTTAAATAATCAATTAATAATCAGAAATGAACAAATTAATAGTTTCGTGACTACTACAAAAAAGGTGGAATTTTCATCTAAAGAACCAACAACTTCTGCTACATCATTAACAACAACGTCATCAACATTATCATCGTCATCTGTGGCAGTGGTTGTTAGTTCAACAAATAAACGATCTAGATCAGCTTATACAAATTTACAATTAATTGAATTAGAAAAAGAATTTCATTATTCCAATTATTTAGGGCAGCCAAGACGATTAGAATTAGCTGAACAACTTGGTTTAACTGAACGTCAAATTAAAATTTGGTTTCAAAATAGACGAATGAAACAGAAAAAGGAATCTATTGAAAAAAGCAAATATGAGTAAGTCTCTCTTCTTTTCCCATCCACTTCTCTAATGTACTGTTTGAAAAAAAATTAAATTGTTGAATAAAATCTCACTGTTTAAATGATATCATACAGAGAAATGTTAGCCGTGAGTCATTTTATATAAGGTGGCGAGTGTCTACTGTTAAGTTATTCTATTTTGGCATTCAAAAACAATACCAGTCTTTTGGATATGTTTCACTTCCTCTAATTAAATAATATTGCTTCAGGATTAGTCTAAGTCAAGATCAAAATCAATTATAGGAAGTAAAATAATTGTATACATCAACGTGCTCACTTATCTTAGAAGCTTCATCATTCCTGGTGGTTTAATAAACGACAAAATCTCGTTACAAATTCAGAAAGTACGGCTGATTTTGTCAACCTACATCACTTGTGGCGTAGGCAAGATTTCTTTTTACCAACTAAAAGACGGGTGTACCATGCTTTGTTCTACTTTATGAGTGTAAAACATGGCCTTTAAAAACAGACCCCTCTAATCATTATGGTGTATTTTGATACTACTAATTGATTAACGCTGAGGTTAAACGAAGATTCCAAGATGAAAGTGGTAAATTGGTTGACGAAGTAATGAATTTTCATCGGGCGAGATGACACCAGATGATTTTTGGTGTAATAGTAGGTTAGAAAAAAACTAGTGGTGAACACATGAAATATAACATCAGTACATGAAACTATTGACTGTTAGACTCAGACATATAGATAGGTATAAATTGCCTGTTTCGGACCCTGGAGATTACCATAACAAATGGCTCAGAATTTTGGTTGACATGACTCCGTCTCATCCGCAATGGATCAGATGCATTTACTGTTTTTCTTCTCATAGATCCTAAGTCTTTCAGTCGTAAGTTAATTCCGCGAATCCATATTTTCTTATCAAATCATGTCTAATATGCTAATACTAGTAGTGTTACTTCATATACTACTCCGGCAACTCACAGTGCTATTTATTTATTTATTTGAACACATAAATATTGATACAAGAGAGCGCCAATATATATGTACCACACAAAACAATGAGAATTCGAAGAGAAAAAAAGGTAAGGAGCGTAAAAAAAGAGAACAATAACGAAGAGATTGGTGTAAGGTAGTGTCGTAATAATAATAGTAATAATGAGGGAACGGAAAGGTACAGTCAGAAGAAATCTTTCAGTTAAGGGAGACATAACCACTTTTTATGAAGAAAGTAAAAGTAGGTTACAGCAAGATCGCCGCTGGCTTCTATTCTGAGCCATATCTGATAACGTCTCTAGCCACTGTGTAGCACCATCTCTCAGACCCCAACCAGGGAGTCGTGAAGGACCAACACAAGCCAGTCCTTTACAGCTTTCTTTCATGCCACGACACCATGTCATATACTGACCACCTCTCCGCTTCTTCCAACCAGTCTCAGAGTCGGCAAATAGTGCACGACGTGAAATTCTCTGGGACGACATTCGGAGAACATGTCCAAGCCACCGAAGTCGGTGTTTCAAGATGGTGACACCAATTGAATTATCATCTCTGTGCCCGAACACACGATGCCGAACCTCTGCATTACTGGCATGATGTTGCCACTGAATGTCAACAATCCTTCAGAGACAGCGATGATCGAACACAGAGAGTCGTCTAACGTCCTCAACTCGGAGAGACCAGGTTTCACAAGCATAGAGCAAAACTGCTCTCACCGACGCGTTGTAGATCCGTCCTTTTACAGCCAGACTAACATCACGAAGGCGCCAAAGGTGGCCCAGATTGGCATGAGCCGCTCTGGCTTTCACTATACGTGAATTGATCTCATCACTCACACTCCCACCAGCACTTATGCAGCTACCCAGATACACGAACTTCTCGGCTACTTCTATCTGCTCACCATCCAGGGAGAGTACAGGATTAGAATCCTGTCAGTCTTGTAGAAGTACTTTGCACTTCGAAGGTGCAAAGCACATACCATACCTACGGACACTGATTGCCAACTGATTAAGTGCGTATTGCTTGCCTTGGGCATTGTCGCACAGTAAGACAATACCATCCGCATACTCAAGGTCGAGAAGTCTTTCTCCAGGCAACAGATCCACACCGCCAATACCTACATCCATCAGAGCTGTTTCCAGAATGTCATCGATGGCAAAGTTGAAGAGGAATGGTGAGATTGGGCAACCCTGTCTAACCCCACTGCTTGAATGGAACAATGGAAAGAGGTGGTTGTATGCCCTCACTCTGTCTGAGGTGTTTGTATATGGGGCTTTTAGGATGTTAATAAACTTCTCAGGCACACCCTTCTTCAATAGACAATATCAGAGAGCAGTCCTGTCCAACGAATCGAAGGCAGCCCTGATGTCAAGAAATACTACGATTGTTGGCCTTTGATAAGTATGACGGTGTTCTAACATTTGGCGGAGGGTGAAGATATGATCAATACATCCTCGACCAGAACGAAACCCAGCCTGCTCCTCGCGAGTCAATCTTTCTCGGGTTTTGAACAACATACGAAGTATGACGGAAGCCAATAGCTTGGACGCAATCGGAAGTAGACTTATCCCCCGATAGTTGTTACAGGAACGATGTGAACCCTTTTTAAAGATAGGGTGCTAATGGGCTAATGTGATGTGACAACTTGAACCGATGCATATATGTACATGTTGCTTACTAGTATTTGACCTAATACAGAATACTAAGATTTGATCAATTCTTGTAATATTGTCATTTTTTGAAGAAAATTATCATGTACTTCAGTTTACGAGTGTATTTTTAATTGATTTGAAATGTAATCAAGCGATAAATGTTCAATGAAATCTATTGATAGATTAAGTGAAGCATTGTATAAATTTGATAAGTTTTTATTAAGATTTGTCAAATAAATCTACAATGTTGATAAATACATCTCGCAGAACAATCTACTGAATGTACTTTAGCGACTCCTCTCAAAAATTCAGTTTTTCACACGATACATAACATTTAATTCACGGTTTGTAGATTTCATGTAACAATGAATTTCACAAAGTAGAGTGCATTATATTTCAGTGATACATTACTGTTAATAGTCATACAAATGACTGGTTACTGCATATTTGCAGATATTAAGCGTTCACGCGCGAGAGTGAGGGTCCTGGGTTCGAACCCAGTGTGCGGGGTTGTGGATGTATACTTTTGAGGAGTCCCATTCTAGGAAGATGGGGCTCTAACATCGATCGATTCATGACCTCAATCACAAAATAACTTTAAGTTAATTCGCTTTTTTCTTATCACTAAACAATGTTAAAAATGTATGATTTCAACAAATTTACTTTATAACAAAACGTTTAATTTACAGTCGCTGACTTTAATATGAATGAAATAGTCATAAATTGAAGTATAGGTCTTTCAACTTTTTATTCAGTATACTGTAACAAAGGAAAGTAGAATGATGAAGGTATCTTAGTTATTGTTTTTTTATAATCTTTTATATCTCATGACATCAGTAACATGTACGTATCAATAAATTATTTATGCTCTACACAGTGATTACTACTAGGCCTATGAATTTATTCATAAAAGTTTCTTCATAGTCGAGATTCATTGACGAAATAAGTCTTAATGATGTATTCATAATTACTTAATTTACTTGTACATAATTTTGTATAATTTTAACGACAATTTATATCATGAAATGACGTCAGATAGAATTATTAAAAAGAACTGAGAGATCATTGAACAGCTGTTTTGTTCTAGTATGAGATCATTCAGCAGTGCATACCCTCGATCTCAGATGGGAATCAGTATGATGATTTTAAATTGATGAATCATAAGCCAGTGGTTTACAACATTAAACAGTTTGAATTACAGCATGATATTCATTTAATATCATCGGTGAATTACTGTCTCATTGTTAACATGTTTGACTCTACATATCACCGCTCGTAATTATGATTTCATAAAATTGATCCTGAAAGTTTGTTCATGTGCCTTTTAAAGAAATCTGTGTAGTTTCAAATATAGTTGTTGCTATGATTTCATACAATTTGGAAAAAAATGTAAATACTGATTACATAGTTTAAAGAAACCAGAACGAAGAATAATGCTGCTTGTTTGGGTTCTGTATTTCTGAATTATAAACTATCTGGAAATTCTTCTAATATGAAACGAAGTCATTGTGAATCGGATAGACTGTTTGGTTAAAACGAAACACTTCATCGATAATCTCCGCTCCTGATTGATTAGAGAAGTCTTATAATATTCAAGATACTAGAATAATCGAATTCCATTCAAGTTTATTCATTTGTGTAACGGTTAATTCAATAATTATTACTTATCACAACTTACCAACTGAGAAATCGTCACTCGGCACATAATTACAGAGAATTTAATAGATATCGTGAAAATACAGTGAAAAAATCCATCATTTAACTTAATACTGAATAAAACAAAACAAAAATGAAAACACATAGGAAATTAATGGACTAAACTCCCAAAATTAATATATGATTTTTTCCCATCGAAGAGTGAGTATCTCCAACAAAATGACTAGTAAAGGACCATATAATTAGAATGAATATCATATCCAATCTGATTACATTCGATCAGTAAATTCTATCTAATCTAATTATAGAACTTTATCATACATACATATTCACTACCTATCTAGAATCCATTTATATATACATTGTAATTTAAAAACAATATCTAAACCTTTCTGATCATGTGTAACATGTAGTTATTTCAATAATTAGTGTAGGAAATCCTTGATTTCTATATTGTCCAAATAATTCCCATCTTGAACTATTTTCAAGTATATACATTACATATAGTTTTATTAGAATTCCATCCATATATTAACAGTAATGATTATCATTTGATTATTACGCTTAAATAAATATTTTGAGAATAGATGGATTACAAATGTGAAGTGTTTCATTTACCAGAATCAATGTAGCCCAATTGAATTATGTCAATTGAGTCAAACCATAAGTTTAAAAAGATGTTTATTTGTATATTTAGTAACAGTGAAAGTTTAAGTTTGCTTTATGTCACTAATAGTGACAACTAACCACTTGTTTCGATTCGACAGACTTAAATATGATGGATTACAAGAATCATTTGATCACTGATCATGTTTTTGAAACAATTAATGTTTTACACATAGCTTCATTGAGAGAATGTGAATTATTAAATAGATTCTTCGTATTATACTATCTAAATATCAGTTGTGGAGTCTTTAAATATAATGTAAGAAGAAACTCAAAAAATCCCCGGTAAACTAATACAACATACTGAGATGGTGAAGAAGATTTGTAGCATCGAAGTGCACAGAACAAGCTGTGAAACACATATGGAGAAATTCGAACACTTCACTTCTATCTGAAGTTTGTGCTGATGATGTCGTTCAGAAGAACGATGAAAGCTCCACGACCAAACCATCCAGCTCAGAGAACAAAACTCCACCAAAATACAACATACTTCTCGATTACATGAAGTTGACGTGAATTTATAAAAGTTGTTTTGGGGAATGTAATTTCTTATAATGAGATAGCTTGAGATAATGATGAACTTAGAATAATTCGTGACATAGTGTGAACTTATAACATTAATAAGGAAATATTCACTGCTTGTTTTTAAATGAAATTCCACTGTTCTTTTCTGTTTATGACTTTTATTTTCATTTCTTTCTTATGAGATTGAGATCATGTTACTTATATTTAGTAATTAGTGTCATTATCAATCATTTTTAGCCTACAGAGTAAAACATCTTTTATTTGTGTACTATTTCGAGATAAGTACATCAACTTGTGTCTTTTAGCCTATTTATTATCATGGTCGTATTTTCTTAAAAATTTCAGTAGTTGCTTCATTTCTTATGCATTCATTGAAAAGTTATTTGTCTGTAACAGTTCGTATGTTTATGTTAGTAGTTCTTGTTTCGACTGTTGTCCACTACTGAGATCTTCACAAAGCTATTAACTATTACGTAGTTTATTGTATGTTTTGTAATAATTCTAATATAACTATTATATAAATTACTCATTTTATGATGGTAAATTGTTGTGGTAAACGCCTTATATACCTCAAAAATTGAGCCTTATAAATCCTCAGCTTAGATTTTCACAAATGATAGTTCCGTGCTCAAGACAAATCTCATGTTTTTGATTTCAGAATGTCGTCGTATTACTTAATTGTCTTATCAATTGTTTCGATCAAAATTAAAAACTTCTGTTGTATTACGTATCAATTTTTGTTAGTTTAGTTTTTCAATAATAAATCGCTTTTACAACATACAGTTATGAATTAGATAAGTTCATTTCATCTATGTAGTTTAAGAGCCAGTTAATATTCAGGTTAACTGATGAACCTTAGTGAATTTTCATTTCGGTGTCTTTGTTAATTAAATGTTTTATAGACAATTCTGTTAAATTCACTTGGTATTGCTTGGCTTGTATCTTCCCACTGAGATTTAAGACTGCAGTTGATCGTTCTGTTATTGGCATATGTGCATGCTGTGCGTATGCCTCGATATTGCAGGTACTTCCAGCTGACGAGCCCCAAATAAGACGAAACGCGCGTCCTGGATTCCATTGCAGGCCACTATCCATCACTGCTTACAAAAAAATTCTGTTAAATATTTCAAAAGTATTTTTGGTTTTATTCAATGTATACTTTACTTATTTATTTGTTTTAGTTTTTACCATCCATATTCTGAAAATTCTCACTTCTGGTATCCTCATCATCCAATGAATATTAATCAGCAAGAACCATACAATTATTATCAAACAACACAATTAAAATCGACTACTTATTCAAATAATTCACTAAACAACCTCCTATCTACTCTGCCTTCTCCAGTTAATATACCAACTTTTATTGATTCAGCTAATTATAATACTATAAACAATATCAATAATTCAATCGATTTAGAGGTATTTAAGAATAGTAATACTAAACATCAATTGAATAATCATAATACAAAACAAATAATGACGAATAATAGTCCTATAAAAGACTGGTCACATTCACTAACATCTAATGAAGAATTATTAGATAAAAAAGATTATTCAATGTTTAAAAACTCCGATTTTCCACGTTATATTTCTTCATGTAATAATTTGTCATCTTTATTATCTTGTGATCATCGATTTCCTGAAGATAGTATGGATTATTTTGTTGATTCCAATGGAACTGATGTAAATCATATGAACAGGTATATGATAAATGAAACTAATCACAAACAAATATTAAATAATAATAACACTAATCATTCTCACAGTGAATTATCCAATCAATTAAAAACTTATTTTGAACCAACAATAATTAATTGTCAACATCAGAGAACATCTCATTCAACAGTATATCAGTATTGCCATCATAATTTGAATCATTGTTAAAATAGTATTATAATATTTAAGCTATTTATGAATTATCATTTTTTTAAATTGAAGTAAATGATCTTATTTATACTGGCATGTAAATAAATTCTCTTATTGTGTTATATCTTTAATGTTGTTGTATTTGATTGAATATATTTTAATAGTTGAGATCGTGAGTCAATTGAAGCAAGACCATCATGGAAAACCTGGAAGCACTGAACGGCCGTTTCTTCTCCCTCAAAAGTGCTCATCCACACTCCCGCATCCACAAAACCCCTTCTGATATTAGTCAACATATGCTCACTAGTGACTGGCTTCAAGAAATGTTTCCTGGAGTTCTAGTGAGAAGCAGTGACCAATGGAGTTCAATCGGGTCTGTTGTGAGATAGTAACTCACTGAAGACAATATTGGATGTGTCGCTCAATTTCATGAATTAGTTGAAGTTAGACATTGACACTGTTGGATGCCGGCTCAGTGGTCTAGAGTTTAGGCGTTCACGCGCAAGACTTATAAGTCCCGGGTTGGAATCTCGCAGGGCGGGATCGTGAATGTGCACTGTTGAGAAGGATGAAACGATCTTCCAGCGCTTTCAGGTTTTTCATGATGGTCTAGCTTCAAATGACTCATGAATTCAATTATTAAATTACTACAATCTCCGCAAAAACCCCTTTTGAATGTATTTATTACACCAAAAATCTAAAAAGGTTACTAGAAAATCGAAAAGGAGTGCACCAATTTAGGGTACAAGAATAAAATGATTTAAAAATACCATACAAATTAGTCAGTAAAACATTGAAGATAATATAATAAACCATCAGACCATGTTGCTAGTCACAGTGGAGAATGTCTTGCACGAAAAATAAGCGGTAACCTTTTATTGGCTCAGCGAACCAAATATGTGTGACCATGCAATCATCAATGTAGATACTCATCTCTTTGAAAATGAAGCCACATTTTCAATTAGTAACGTGTATCTATTTCCTTAGGAAGTGAAGCCAATCATTGTCTTTTTTAAACTGTGCTCATCAGCAACCATCACTTTTCAATTGGTTTGTGTCTGATTAGCCCAGCGTATCAAAAATTTTTAGTTGAAGTTACATTCTCTGAACTGAGTGATGTAATCATCAGGATTTCATCATCATCATCAGCAGCATAAATTACAAGAAGAGGTGAAGAATGAGAATTACTATATAAAATAACTAATGACCTATTCTGTAAATATGAAATTTTATTTTATACCGATAACAGCCTTATTATCAGTATTTATGATACTCATCAATGAATCTTTTCCATTATTTGAGCTCACAAAACAAAGAGGATTTATTCATGAGGTTAAACGCTTAAAATGAGTTCAGAATATTACATGATTATGGTTACTACAACCTATATTTCTTTGTATGTCAGTTTAATTTATATAACTATTTCACCGAGTAAATCACTTATTTTTCAACAAATCATAGCTGCTTAAATGATTATTATATTTTCATGAAGTGATATAACGAAATAGGAGGAATCCCAATAAGAATAATATGAATTCGTGTTATTTCTTCGTTCCCCTTTAGCTGCTTAAAACGGTATCTGTATAACATAATATTAAACAGTTGGCATTGGTGACTGAAAAAGTTGGAATGACAGCGATAACCAGAATTCTATGTACATAAACATAAATGTCGACGAATAAAAATATATAAAATTATTTTGAGATAAATACCTAAAATGTAGATGAACAGTTAAATAGTACAATATCTAATAGACTACAGGTATAACATGGATATTTATAAATCATTGGAGATTTTAAACCTTTTGAAATTGGTTATCAATTTGAAAATAAAGTTAATCAGACAAGGACTGTCGTTACTTTAACACAAAAATTTTGTTATTATTTTCCTACATCAGCAGTACTTCGATATACATGGAATACATAAAGCGAATAAAAAAGAGGAACAATTAGTTTTGTATTTAATAGCTGTTTAAGTTGTAGATCACCAACGTAGATGATCTATGTCGAATGATTGGAGATCTACTCGGTATGACGAACCATCTAACTTCGAAGTCACACTTCGCGGTCAGCATCTAACGTGGATTATCCCTTTGACGTATCAAAGTACCATGGCTGCTTCGAAGACCGTATAACAAAAAGAACGTTGTTATGAAAATGTATTATTAAGAATGAGTACAGAAAAGATAGCGAAACCACCACCGCATGTGCCAGTCCATGGCATACGATTATCTGATGCGCTTTGGTTGTCCTTGGCCCTGAAGAGGATCGTCGATTTGTCCCAACTGCCGAATGATTTGACTAGGGCTAAGTGACACTTCACTGGCCCTACAAAGTATTTTGAAAACCTATTAGATCATCTAGAACGCTATGAGTTTGTTAATTTACCGTAAGTTGCTTCGTTTTTCTTTTCATGATTGTTTGTCACCTGTTCACAAGATTTGAGGACAACAGGAAGGTTTTCCAATATTGCTGATAACGTCACATTGTACGTGCTAAAATGAACCAAGAGTTTAATTTGATTGGTCAGTTATACCATGTGAATCTAATTTGTTAATTAACCAATGCAAATGTTACTCAGCGAACTTATGCAAGATTGTACAATTATTCAGTGTGAACAAAATAAAGTAATAGAAAAATCCTTGTAGAGAAGTAATTTTTTTATCCGATTTTAAATTTTAAATAAACATTCCTATGCCAGTTATTGTCTTCATCTTTGCATTAAGGTAAAACACTTTTGTTCTATCGTATGCGTTGTAAGCGGTCGCTCGGAAACGTATCACACGTACGAATTCAACCTGAAATTGGGAACATCCAAATTTCAGTTGTTATTCACATTCAGTTGTATCCAATGACTACTATCGTTGTGAACAGCTAGTGAAGACCATTCGATTTCTTTTAGCATAAGTCTTCATGTTAGGGAGTTGTTTCTGGACCTTGGTTCCTCCCGATGATCTTTATCCAGCTACTTGGCTAGAGTTACTCCCCTGAAAAGTAATTGTGTGCCTGATATTTTCCATATGACCATAGGTTTGCTGAAATCAGTAGCCATTAGATCACTAGTCAATGGTTTAGTTAATTGTATCAACCCAGAATAACGGGATTTGAAAAGCGTTGAAGGGATAAAATACCCCTAAATAATTCGTTATTATAATGAAGTTTGAGTGGCGAGTAAAATAAAAATGTGAAGACTGTGAAGTAAAAAACAAAGAATTATGATGGTAAGATGGTAGCTACCTTAATTTGGACAGCGTTCCATATGGAACGAGTACACAACGCAAAAGTCTGAGACCTCTTTTGGAAATTTATTGTGGCCTTTTATGGTGGTTTGGACTGAATGGTCTACTTTTGTACGTTGTAAAGTTGATTATTTTTTATTTAAAGCTGAGTGGGAGCTACTGTGATATTCTAGCGGGTCACTATAGGTTTTATGCTTTGATCCTTATCTTTAAAATTCCTCCGGAAGATTCATATTCTTCTAAGAGGAAGTTCAAGAGCATTGAGATTTTTGAAGTAAGGTCAGATTTACTGCTTAACAACGCTGCACATAATTTGGAATTGAGAATAAGATTCTGTCTACTGAGAAAATGAAGTGCAAAAAATAACTAGGGTTTATGTGTAATCGGTCTAGCTTTTTATTCTGTAGTGACCCACTTTTATCACGAGAACACGACTGGTTTAATGAAAACAATCATTATCATAACCAACTGTACCAGTGCTTGTTTTAACGTGCTTTTGTTTAACTGTGCTAATTACAGCCATGTTGTGCTTCCATTACCTTCCATCATTGTACCGCGGTTTTTGGCTTTGTTCGTACGTACTCCGTTCTCATGCTTTCGCTTGTACCATTTCTTGGTACGATCTTGGTATTCGTTCGATACCACGAGATCGCCAACTAAATAAATCTGGTTACGTTCAACCTTCGCCTTCTGATTTCCTTGGCACGTGTTTCTTGGTAGCGGTGTTCATAGTAAATTGGGACTCGACGCCACGCTACAATTCCTCAGTTAGTAGTAATGCTAGGCCAAGATCCATCGATATTACTGGAGACCCAATGATTGCGAATGATTTAAGTTGTTTGTCGTGATATGTACACGATTTAGTTTCCCATGAAGTTTTACTCTGTCTCTGAGAAAGCGAACTGTAAGCTTGTTCTCATCTCCTGGACCTTCACTGGCAGGTTAGACCTGTTTTCACAGCGTCAGCGTAATGATGAGAAGAATTACATTCATAACATGCCTGAAGTACTCTTTCTAGATTTTATCGGTTCTTAAATTAATCCATGTGACAGGAAGTAACTCATGTACCCTACAGACATTCGTGCCTACGAGCCTTTCTATATTTGCAGCTTGTTTTGTAGCAGCCCTTCTCACACACTATCGCTTCCTACGCTTATATCTCGATGCCTACAAACTGCCTAACTGTATACTGAAGAAATCTTAATCGCCTATTGATAATCTTAGTGAAGGTGCTTACCTTGTGCCACGTCATTATACATGTTCAGATAAGTTGTTCTTACCAATAGTCGTCATCCCATTCCTTGACTGCCTTCGGGATATCTTACCCGTACTGTTTTGACACTAGTATTGTTTGACTTTGTCGTATTTGGGATATATTCGGTACAAGTGTTCGGCAAGTAGCAATGCTCTTCTCACTCGTGTTTATCAAACCCATTCTCTGATTTCAAGTACGTTTCCACCTATCATGCGACGATTAATAAGGACAAACTGCGAGTTAGGATTATAGTGTTTTCTATGATTTTTGATATAGTGTTCTTTAAACTGCTTGGGTTATTCGGGATGTTATTTCCACTTATACTCATCTATACTATATACTCATCATTACTGACGAACAGAACGGAAAAAACTTTTACATGTTAAGTGGTCAATATTTTTATCATTAATGTAAAGGTCGATCTTACATCTGACAACGTACCCAATGAGTGTGACACAACTATAGCACTGCAGAACCGCAGTACTCTTCAAGTTATCAAAGCATATCGAATTAGCACGAATACCA